GCTCATGTGCCAGTTTTCCAAATGATCACTCATATTTAAGTATCTATTTGGAGCAGAGGGAAGCGCTTCCTAAATCCACCTGTCCTCATTTTTCTTTAAAGAGATGACACTGAGAATGAAAGACTTCCAAATATATTAAATCTTCTTAAATGTGGGTTTTGTCGAAAGCGGGCGTGGGCTAGGAAGGGGGTGGGGGAGTGGGCAGGGTATTGAGAATATATTCAGTGACTGAGCACGTGTGCGTGTTGGGAGGAGTGGGCTGCTTTTTAATTTTCTATTTCCAAGAGGAAAGTGGGAAAACATAGGAAGAGTCTGTGGAAGTGCCCTTCTTACCTGTCATGTGTCACGTAGAAAAATACCAAGTCCACAGGTTCTTTGATAGGTAGGGCATCTTCCCAGTGAGACATTAGTATCCGAGGAAATGGCATTTACAAGCTCACTAATGAATGAATCAAGTTCCCCATTGTAGTTGTTTCTAAGCCTTGCATCTACAAAACTTGTGCTTTCAGTGAATTCAAGGGAGATTAGTCGCTCTTACTGGGAACTTGGACTCTGCCTATAGGTAAATAGGGACCGATAAGGGATGCCTGGCTTACCATGGTGCGGGGAAGTGCTTCCTTATGGTACCGCAGAATGAGAACGCGTTCTCAGCATGCCTGGATGAGGCACCTATCATATTCTCTTCTCAACCTATACCCAGGGTGTTCCAAAGTCCCCAACCTGCAGATCATCCTGCCTTTCTTAGCGGCACCATATAAAGTGGCTGGTCTAGGTAATACAGTTGAATCTATCGTGATATGTATTGTGGTTCCTTAAATAGTTTAGTTAACCTTCGTGAGGTATACAAGTTGCCTTAGTTGAGTTCTTTGCAAAACAGGTAAACCAGCTTTCTAAACTAACTTGCGAGAGAATCAAAAAAGCAATAAAACCCAACTCATTTGCCCCAAAAGTCAGGAGTATCAGTATGATTTAAAAACTGGGAAGGAATCCCAAACCTCCTCTCCCTCCCCATAAAAAATTTTCTGGAAGTGCTTCAAAGTGAAGTGAGAATGAAGCATGGAAATATATACCATAACACCTGGAAAGACAAATTTATTGTTGCCAGTCTCATTAAATGTGAGAAGCAGGAGTGAAAGATGCAGCTCAGAACTGAACCCCCCTCTCCTGCACAGTTTCATAAACTCATGTTCAGAAGCAAGACATCCCGGCCTGTGGGATGTGGTCAACTCTTCTCTTCTCCTTTTAACACAAACTAAAAGTGTTGCTTTGTTCTTTTTTTTTTTTTTTTTTTCCCTCTAGTGTCTTCTTCCACATCTCCTGGGTCTTCTCAAACTCTCACCACCCTAAGTCTGCATGTTGTGCCAAGAATCCTGGCAATTGTGTAAACTGATACAAAAGCCAGGACATGCTCTCCTGTCACTTAGAAGGTCCTGACTCATAAAGGCCAGGAAGCGCAGGGCTAGACGAGGAGATTCGAGCCACTCCCTCTTGGCTCTTGATAAACCTTCCCCATCTGCTTTATTTTCCTATGGGCCAGGGGTCAGCAACCTCTCTAGCCTTGAAGCCATCAGCAGCAGGGGCTGGCGGGGGATGGTGCTAAGCAAAACAGAGTTACCCCCAGAGAGCTTATGACCAAGGCAGAGATGAAACAGAAAGCTGAAAAAAGACAAGGTGTAGTGAAGAGAAAGGAGGAAGGAAAAAGTAGTGAAAGAGGGAAAGTGTGACCTTATCCTCCAACCCCTTTCTCTTTCTCCTCGCTCTCCTGTCCTGCTCATTTAGAATAACTTGAAAGACGGTCAAGTGCATAGGCAAAATGAAGTCGTTCTTGGTATTATATTAGTATCGGTGTCATTGCCCACATTAAATAAGCTAATGTGACTAAACACCAGCGTGCCTGGAACATTAGTAAGTGTCATTCAATGCAAGCTATGCTGTGACTCCTACTAACTGACTGAGAAATTTGAAAAATGCAAACAATAAGATGCTTTATTATTTGGCCGGTTAATACTCAGTTGGGGTATTATACTTTTTTGGAGAGGTTTTTTTTGGTTTGTTTTTTCTTTTTGCTATAGGGCACGTGTGCTCGCCAGACAGAGATAGAAAGTGAGAAATCACCCCCCAGGGGGGATGGCCACGCCACAATCCCTTCTCCTCTTGGGATCTTGGGCACGCATGCACATGCGCCTGGCGTGAGTCTTAAGCCACTGGGTCCAGGACGCAAACCGCGGTCGACTACATGGGAGTCCAGCAACATAGCCATTATGCTAACTGCTGGTCCTGGGGTATTATACTTTTTGGAACTGACTGGATCTTGGGGCATCTGGAAACATAACTTCAGTGTTTCTCTACCTACCCTGCTCCACCTCTGTCTAAAAATTTAAAAAGAAACAAGGTGGACAGGTCTCCACTTGGCAGTCTTTGCCATGTGTTCATACTTAAGCTACAGGTTCGTTTTGCTAGATCCTACAAAGCGAGACTTAAATACAAAAATAAAGCAATGCATGCAGTATCAGTGAGGTATTCCGTTCGAGGTGCTGGGTCTACTCTTGGCTGGCAGCCACGGCCCACACTGGTAAAGCTACAATGATAAGGATAGTGGCTTTTTAAGCATCTCACTTAAGTAGTGACCTCCATGCACAAAGGCATGGAAAAGAAAAGATCACCTTATCTGAAGCTTTTGTTAGGAAATGTGCCAAACTGAGAGGTTGCTCAGTGATATTAGGATCGTTTCTGTGTATGTGCTCGTGGGGAGATGGGCAGGGTACACTCCATGCTCCTGTTTCTTTATTCCAGAAAGAGCCTAGTTTTGAGTGAAGGAAAAATTAGACCCAGAATAGTCCAAGAACTCGTTCGAAGTCACATGAGAAGTGACTGAATTCCTACCCAGGCCCCATACTCCTTGCAGGGAAGCAGTCTTAAAATAGACATTGCAGATAAAGGAGAGGTGGCCTGGCTGGAAGTGGCCATGATTCACAAAAAGAGAAATATCCAAGGTTAATCATATTAAAGGAGGATTTAGATGATGCTAAATGCAGCAGCTTGTTGGGTACTTCTTGATGCCAGCCATCCCCTATTTGTGTCACTTTGACCCTGGTGCTGGGAGTGGGGGGATTAAGTTCTAACCAGGTAATGTTTAAACAATCCTAAAAATCCTAATGTGTACTTCAAGGATTTGTTCTCTTGAATGTGTTCTACAGCAAAAAAAACACAAAAATCATCTCATGAATCTTGGACAACACTTTTATAAATTTCGATGCATGCTGCCAAATGAATATTTATGTCCTAATATAAAGTAAATAATTCACCAGCACACAGCACACACGTCTTTTAGCTTAAGGTTTAGAGCAATAAACTTATCAGAAAGGAGGGAAAAGAAATGAAGCTCTTAATAAGATTTCTTTAAAATCTTTAGCCATAACCATATTCTTCAGCTTAAGAAGAAATCTGCTTAGGGTCCTATCAATATAGTAAACCAATGCTCTGTTACAATGGAAACTTTAACAGAGGTTTTAAAATAGTGGACACCAAAAATCCGCATTTTTAATGTGTTCAGCAGAAGAAAAACTTCATTTACAGCATGTCTGGCAAAAAAATATATTGGTCTTAGGTAGCAAAGATAAATTGGTAACTTGCAGAATACGTATTCAAACTTTCAAAGAAAACCTGACTTCCCTATCACTGAACTCCCACATCAATTCATAAGCCACCATAACTGATCTGCGAGGCCCAAGAATGGTGGGGAGAAGGGCCGAAAAGGAATGAGCAAATAGGGGGAGCACTGAGGGTGTCAGGTCTCTTTATTGATAAGGTCAGAGCGGGGTTCCCTTCCCTCCTTCAAAAGTAAGAACTTCCTGGGCTTTCTTGACTACTTATTTACATGAGGCAAGCAAAACCATGAACATAAGTTCCCTGCATGAACAGATGTGGGAGAAAAAATGTCTACCCTCAGGGTGGCACAGCATCTAGCCAAGGTAATACGAGAAATGGACCAACTCTGTCTAGGCACAGCCTGTCTCCTCTCCTCATGGGGGCTCAGCCTGCAGAACTCTTGCTACATTCCCACCTCCAACTATTGTGGCCTCAGTCAGCAGGGCTCAGCAAATGCCTTTGTGAGTACTGGGAGATTTGCTAGCGTTGTCTCATAGAGAGTCATCATGTTGCGATGAAAACCGTTTGCTGAGGCACCACATTAGCCTATAAAGAAATGCCTTACTCATAGCCACACATCTTTCATTGTTGCATGGATATTGCTTTCTGGGAATTGTCTACACTGCTTTGTGTGTATCTAGAATATGCATGCTGTAGAGATATGTACTTATGTATGAGAGCCTATGAACAAAGCTCAACTTGCTTGTGAATGTGTGCAAAATAAATACAGGTCTTTCCTCTAAAAAGAACAGAAACAGAACTAAAGACAAAAAAAAAAGAGGCTGAGGGATCTTTTAGGATTTGCACTTAGTAAATTATCATACCACTTTCTCCATAAAGGAAATACATGTCGATTAAAGTTAGAAACCTTGGAATAATTCCCCCATGAATACCTCTCAACTTATACAGAAAACAATTTGTGTAGCTACCATTGTACATAGCACATAGCAGGTCCAATAGACATCTCAGAACCTAAAAATGAGAAGGCCTGCTGGAACAGGAACGTCATCCCTGGAAAAGAAATCACCTTGTGTTTGTTCTTTGCTGCCATTTTTTTTCTTTTTTCTTTTTTCTTTTAAATTTTTTTATTTTATTTTATTTTTATTCTCCAGTTCCCTTTTCTGTGGCCAAGTGGGTCTTCCATACAAGCTAAAAAGCCAGGGAATGGGAAAGGAAGTGGGAGTAGGTCATTTCCCATGATTCCAGTGGGGAATTATCCTTGCTATTACTCTGCTCGGAAATGTTTACGTGAGAAACCAACACAAAAGTAGCGCTGGGGGCATTACAAAAGAAAATTAATATTTTTTAAAAAATGAAAAGGTAGATGACAAAAAGTAAAGATTAGTTCCTACCTCAAAGTCATTTGCTTTATTGTAGTGCATGTTCAGAGCTCTGTACAGCTCACAGTCTCTGGTTATGGACAGCTCTTCAGTACTGGTGACTCCATCGTTGATGGCTTGACGTGCATATTTCTCCATCTGAATGTAGTAAAACTCACGGAAATTGCTAAACCACTTGATGAGCTGAGAGGTTATGCATCTGTTGAACTGTTAAATTTAAATGTTGAAAAGAATAAGAACATTGCCATTTTCTTCATTTATTTTTAAGTATCTGAAGCATTTCTAAAGTTCCCTGCCCCTTTTCCTTGGAAAGGTATGTATTTCATTCCATCATGGTGGCAAGAGAGGCAAGAGACTTAATATACTTACAAGATATTATTAAAACCTATTGATAATGGAAATCACATCACAACCCTCCATATTTCAAGTGGAAAACTTACATTCAAATCCAGATTTTCCTTAAGCCCAATGTATTTTATAATTTTCATTGCCAGAGGGCATGTGTGCAAGAGAGAGAGAGAGAGAGAAGGAGAGAGTGAGCATACACCTCCTAATAGGGAGTGGTCATGTTGCAATACTTTTTCCTCCATTTCTCTATTCTGTCAGGATTTGGGGCAGGTATACACATGCCTTCAGCATATGTTTCAAGCTGTTGGGGTCTGGATTTGAACCATGGTCAGTCATGTGGGATCCAGCGCTCATTGTACAGTGCTTAACCACTACGCTACAGGGCAGGCCTTATCCTTTTCAAAACTAACATTGTTCTTCATCTTTCAGTACAACAAATTTTTAAGTATCTGAAGCATTACTAAAGTTTGTTAGTATCTGAAGCTTTTGTTTCTAAAGAACAAATTGCATTTGTATGAAGAGACTTCAAGAAGTTTGTGGAAAAACGGAATGGTACAAAAATTTTTGACATTCATGCAGGGTTTTTTTTTTTTTTTGGGAGCGGTTTTTGCTATAGGGCATGTGCACTTGCCAGAAAGACAGAAAGAGACAGAAAGCAAGAAATCACCCTCCCAGGGGAGATGGCAATGTCACAATCCCTTCTCCTCCATTCTCTTCTCGGGATCTTGGATGTGCACACCCACGTGCCCAGCGTGAGTTTAAGCCACTGGGCCTGGGACTCGAACCATGGTCGACTACATGGGAGTCCAGTGACATAGCCATTACACCAAATGCTGGTCCCTATGCAGTTTTTAATAGTATGCATTTTCTCTGAAGACCTCCTCATATATTTTCATGAAATTCATTCAAGCCATAGAATTTTGGATGAGTTATTACTCTCAACTACTAGAGATGACAAGCCACATGACTTACCACCCAAATGATACA